ATAAATTTCCTTTTGCCATGAGAAATTAAACTGTTTGAGCAACGGTTTGTCAGAGTTGGACGTAGTCGTAGACGTAGGGTTAATCCGGTGGATTCTTGTATTTGGAGGGTGACAGATATTAGCAGTGACCTCCTGGGATATCGTTCCATCGATCTGATGAGTCACACTTCTAGATTGACTCTTGGCTCTAGGGGTGTGTCCGAGAAGAGGGTGGACAAGTTAATTAAGGAATGTAGAAAATCGTCGTATAAATGATTGATTGGTTAGTTTATTACTTTCAAGGGACATTGTAGTAATAGCAGTAGAAAAATGCCATGTGGAATCGCGAGTAAAGCAAATGTTTACTGTAGAAATGCTCTAAATGAAGGTAAATCCCTGTAGCTAACTTGTTCAGTAGTTAACGCCGTTTGTTTATTATAAGAAAATGCAAAATTAATTAAATTACTAAGAATTGTGTTGTGTATGCCTATTATACACACATTATTACCAATATTACACGTGAATTGTAACAAATCAATATTTACTACGCGGTAAAAAGAAACTGTAGTATTATTCTGAAGGATGAAAACAAAGGAAAGTTAAACGTGCGACCTCAGATGGATATATGGAAACAATATTAAACTTGTTCTCCAGATGGAGATATTAGATTGATGGATTACCTTCACAACAAGCAGATGCAACTCCAACCATTCCATGGAGTAAGTAAGCTATTGTCGACAACCACCTAACCTTAGAGATCCCCAGAGGGTTGTACACAGACTTCTCCAGACAATATACTCAGTGTTAGCTCGAGTAGTAAGGGGAGGTGTAAAATCTCATATTCTTTTCCTGGTGAATTCCATCTGTATCCATTTTCTTATTGATTTTTATTTTTTATTTTGTAACTTGCAACAGACTAGAGGTCTTACAATTTAAAAAAATTGGCTTACCTATGTTGTTTTGGAAATGTTTTAAAAAGGTGGCGAAATAATTTGAATTTTTTGATCAGTTCAAGTTTTTTAAATGTTCAATTGATTTTGTTATGCTACATGACGTAGGGTGGTTTGTTTTCTTCCTATGTCAACAACTTATCTTATTAGGTTATCGTAGATCATTAGATTCGTCAAAACATCAGAGCATTTCTAATACTTTAACTACTTTTATACTATAATCGGACACCGTCATTTTAGTTTAAAAATTATGATGGGTTTGAAAACTTTAATGAATCCAAACCATCAATTTTAAGGTTTGATGATAGTTGGTAATTTTAATGCACTGAGGGCCAATTAGGCTACGTACCGTACTTGAAACCAACATTACCGTACTACCAAACATAACGTAGCTGAAAAACCGTACGTCTGACATAATTAAGTAATTTACATAATTTTAACCCGCATCTCTTCATAGATAAACCACTCTTCCATTACACATCTTATATTTCTTAATCCATAACTTCCACAGAGGAATTCCTGCCGCGTTTGTGTACTCTGCGATGAAGTCGTGAGATTCCGGATGATTCACCGAAGGGAAGCAACATTTGGCCGAGGCGGGGGCTGAGACCCCGACATTAGCACAAAATTGACTCTATGATTGCACAGGCTGAGGACTTTCGCGTCTCTCGCAATTTGCCAAGTCGTTTGACACTGGGGGAAGATCGGATCGCAGGACATATTGTCTACCGCAGTCCCTGTGGTATCGGTATGTGGGGATCTTCGTGATAATACTCTCAATGAGAGGCATTTGTGGGATTCACATTTATTTATTAACACATATATGTACACGTAAGTTCAAAGAGGATTCTCATGCTGCTAGAAGGAGCTCCAAATTTGAATTAGTCCACCAAGATCAACATTATTTTATTCGTAAAAGAGGTTTATATTTAGATTATCTCTAACGCTTTAACTTGATGTGGTTATTAATTTCTAAATTTGTTATGCCTTCAGTGGCAATGTGTTAATTGATTGTCGTGATTACTGCCTTACGGAATTGTTTACTTAAAGTTGTTGTGAGATGATAGTTCTGAATTAGTCTTTTATGATTGTAACACATGGAAAATTCGTTCAATTAACTATTTACTGTCCAATTCGATTTTGGGAGGAATCCATCTTATTTTCCTAACTCAACTTTAAGCAAACAGGTTAGTTTAAGACAGTAGTTTTCTTCGTGTTTAACGGCTTGGATTTAGAATTGTTCACTTGTGTCTACCTAGACAACCTTCTTTATATGTTGTATTTCTGTTTATCAAAATACGTTTGTGAATACACCAAGTATTATGGCTAGATACAGATGTAGAGACAAGGTTAAGTTGAGTCTAAATAGCGATAGTACTTCCCCATTTCCTCTTGCCATCAAATATGAAGATAGGAACTCCCCCTCGATGGAGCAAAGAAGCCTGTTTAGTGTAAGTGGCGTACCTCAGCCATCACTCATCACTCATAGAGGGTAAACAACCTTCGGTAAGTTCCCATTCACATGCAAACGTCATTTCACGATTAGCATTTACAAGAGAGGCTCCGGGACAGCCTCGTAACTCTGTCGTCCGTCCTCAGTCCATCCTTAGTCCATGTAGTCCATCCTCAGTCCATCATTAGTCCATCAGTGGTCCATTAGTGGTCCATCCTTAGTTCATATGTAGTCCATGTAGTCCATCCTCAGTCCATCATTAGTCCATCCTCAGTCCATCATTAGTCCATCAGTGGTCCATCCCTAGTCCATATGTAGTCCATGTAGTCCATCCTCAGTCCATCATTAGTCCATGTAGTCCATCCTCAGTCCATCATTAGTCCATCAGTGGTCAATTCTTAGTGCATGTGTAGGTCCAACCTTAGTCTATCAGTGGTCCATCCTTAGTTCATGTGTAGTCCAACCTTAGTCTATCAGTGGTTCATCCTTAGTCCATCAGTGGTCCATCCTTACTCCATAAGTAGTCCATCCTCAGTCTGTAGTCCATCCTTAGTCCATATGTAGTCCGTATAGTCCATCATTAGTCCACCAGTGGTCCATCCTTAGTCAATAGTTTTTTCATCCGTAGTCCATCCTTAGTCCATCTGTAGTCCATACATGGTCCAAGGCGCAATCCTAGTTTATCTGTAGTTTATTCCGTTATTAAACCGTCATTAGTTCATACAGTTTTCATCCATCGTCAATGCTTGGTCAATCCATAATTCATCCCTCGGCCTCTTTTCGATCATTTTATCCTTAGCTCGTTCACGTTCATCAATAGTCTATCGTTCATCCGTTGTCCATCTATAGTTCATCTGTAGATCCGTAGTCCATGTATCGTTCATACTTAGTCCATCCATTCACCATCCGTAATGCACCCTTAGTCCCTCCATTTATACCCTACTTCATTTTAAGCTATGTATACTTCAGACTCTGTCGCGAGCAGATAACGAGTGTAAACGGATTTAACTCAGACCTGGTCGTTGTACACACTTTTAGTTTTAAATGTACATTAAAATAAGTGTTGTCAAACCATGTTCGATTTTCTACACATCATAACGCCTACCAATGCCCTCTGCAGACGTAAAACGCACATACATCCAACACAATACACCGACTCTCGGTCACAGAACATAAAGTACGGAGTGAATAATGAACAGTTTTATGTGGCGAGTGAGTTTTCTTTCATTAACTGGATTTATCACCGCATAAACTTTACGGATCATTAATACATTAAAATCGCCTATAAAGTATCCGGAACCAGTGTATTTCCACGGTTAGACACGGCTAGCGGTCCATAACCTACAAGACACGCCATTCTCGCTGCGATCCATAAACTAGAGTGAGGTGAAGCTAAACGCCAAACATGATTTACTACCTCGCAGACTTTCGGCGTAAACATTGCCCGCAAATGGGCTTTTTACGGTTAATCCCCGTAGACGAGAGGGCGCTTACGGTTCATCGATAAGTTCAAAGTATGACATAAAAAATGCATCAGCCGTTATGAGCTTGGAAGAAATCGCTCATTAGTTGGTAATGTATGCAAAGCCGCGATAGCGCCTGAGTGGCTTTAATTGGGGGCTTCTGAGTTCTGACCACTCACTTGAACACTCAGCCTATCTGCGGGCCACGCGACACCGGAGTGGGGTCGGTCAACTAAATTGTTCGACCTCGGACAAGATAAGTGCTTAGTCCCCATTAGGTCATCGGTATGAGAAAGCATCTGAATAACATAATGTCACCGGTTAATCTTGTCTATGTGTAGTATCCATGGATTTCTTTCCACCACTTTCTAAACCGACGAGATGTTAATGGGGTTTGTTCACAACTTTGATAACAAATTAATAAAAATCTGTTTTTCGAATATGTTGTATTACGTAACTATCTATGCTTTATTTCTATGTAAGAGTCGTATGTTACTCCGCTAGTAAAATATTTGCGGATTGTTGTAAAATTAGTCCTATGGAATGGTAAAATGAATTGAATTCTTCGTCGGGTTTGGGGTCAAGCATCCTTGGAGCTCACTAACCTTGATGGCAATTACTTTTTGCAAATTTGCTCCTGATTTATCATAGAAAGTTCTAAAAAAATGCTCAGCTCTTTAGAAAAACTTATCTTTTCTTTTATTTACATAAGCATCGATCTTAACTTATAGAATTGGCATTTTTTTATTGAAGCTTGTTTCTATGAAGGAATTTAAGTGTTAGCCCTTGAGAATGAACTACTGCATAGCGTCCGAAACGTTTCCCACTACTTCATCACCGTCTTCATGCGTTCGTCACCCAAAGGCAGGGATTTACTACAAAATGACCATTTGAACAAACCGTCGCAGTATTGATCTTACTTTTATCTTTAGTCCGTTATTCTTATTGTTGACAAATCTCTCTTCTTCTGCAGGCTGAAGAGGTCCTAGAACAGCCTCAGTCCGGTGGGGTTTCGGCTCTCTTAACTGAAACATCACGAAACTAACCTACTCACTACTTTCAGTTGGTTGACAACATAGGACCACTATGACGATTTGTTGGTGTTGCTTTATTATACTAATGTTTAACAATTTTAACCGATTCCTCTGGTTTCAGTGGGTGGAGGAGAGTTACACCAACTTCGAGAAAGGCATCAACTGGAGATCCTACGTGGTCTGCGACGTGGCCTACAACAACGTCAACAACTGGCTGTGGACGCCCTTCGTCGAGAGAGGCGCAGCTAACCGCATCTACATAGAGATCAAGTTCACCATCAGGGACTGCTCGTTGTTCCCGGGCAACGCGCTATCCTGCAAGGAGACGTTCTCGTTGTTGTACTACGAGTTCGACGCGGCGACGAGGGAACCTCCTCCCTGGGAGCCGGAGAGCTACAAACTCATAGGTTGGTAGCTCAAAAATATGCTGTATCTCATAGATAAGTTGTTGCTGATAATTTAATTTTTGGGAAATCATTTAATTTATTATTAAATTAAATTCTTCCCCAAAAATTAAATTCGTCCTACCATCACAATATGTTGTAGCTCATAGATATTTTGTAGCTGATAGATAAGTTGTCGCTTTGACGGTTGATCTCAACAGTTTTTGAATCAGAATGGTCATGGTTGAATTGATCCACCGAAAGAGTGCGTTGATATAAATTATAATTATAAATTAGGAATTTCTATCGAACAAGTCATCCTTTTATGAATTAAGAAAGTCAACAGACAGGACGAACCACATCAACTATCACAGTGGCAAAAAATAAGGCAGAAAATAGAGTTTTTAGGCGTTAGAGCATTCTGTGACTGGCTCACTCATCTATGTTTTTTTAAATGTAAAATTGGCGACAGCTGGTAGGCTACATAGAGTTTGTCTACTTTAGTATCCAAAAGTCCTAATTGATAACTTTTGTTCTGAGCACGAGATACAAGAGCATTGTAGTTTAATAGCTGATACACAACATGTCAAAGAAGTATAAGATAGTTGGTGTGTTATGAATGCTATACAAGATGAAAATTACAAATAGCGTAATACCATTGACTATTGGACAAGTCTAAGGATGACCATGACTACCATGACTATTGGATACATAGTATCCAATAGTCATGGTACCCAGCTGTCCTCTAAATGTTAAATCACTAGATTAATTTAGTTCGATTATAAACTGTTCGAAGCATCAGAAATTTTTCCTTGAGAAATGAGTCGGTAAACTTATACAAAATGTCATTAATTGTATTAAATACTAAATACAAATCCTATCGCAATAGTGCTTACTATATTTTACGTTACAATTAATTGTACGCGATAGAATCGTGATGAGAACTATAACCAACAACAAGAACCCGTCACACAAACACCAAAATACCAAAACTTCAAATGCGATTTAATCTCCGAGATCCAGTTTAAAATAAAACCCAGTTCCAAAGTTGTAAGCCACCCGCGCTCCCCTCCCAAGTTAAACAGATCATATCAAAACTCGTCATAGAGATTAGACAGAGAGACAACAATTTTATTTTATCTCCGTGCCTCTCTGCTTCATTACTCGCTTATTATTGCTCGACTTGTCAACAGAAGTTCAGCTGTAACAATCAGCTGATTTAGATTCGGTATTTAAGGAACAGGAAATACAAATTAGGCTGAGATACGTGAATGAAGGTATGACTGTTCTGTGAAATAATCTTTCTGTGTTTAATTATTGTTGATAAATACGTCGGGTATTGTAAGAGTTTCTAATCTCGTTGGAATAATTGTCTTTTTAATGCACAAGGTACTTTTAAAAATAGTTTGGTACGTCTGCAATAACGGAGTGTTGATTCAAATGCACAAGAGCGTTCAAGCTAAAATCATTGCTTCAATATGCGTTATATTGCAGTGCGCATATAATATCGCGGATACAACAGTATACTATTTCCTCTTCATTCGATTTCGCATACTTTTGAGTAAGTGATATTACAGTCAAGTAGTTTCCGCAATTGAATTTACCACTAAATCTATTTTATTTGTTTGCGAAGATCCATTTTGATTTCAGCCTTTCTTTATCTACATAAAATACTTTGGACAATAGTTTTCAGTAATCGGATTAAATTTAGTTTTAGAGAATAGTATAGAGTATTAAATATTTTGTACTTTACTGGCTACACAAGTGCAACGACCGAGTATTCGAAACATATCTCATATCCAACAGTAGACAAATATCCGTGGAAGATGCAATCAGCTGTTCAGCTGTCCTCCGGCATTCCACGGAAGGAGACTCGATACTGTATCGGGCTCATCGATACTAAAATAAGTGAAACACTACTATCGCTGGACTTCCAGCATGCAAGCGATGCGCCGATAGAGCTCCAGAGAGAATGTAATCGTTGCATCGATTGTTGATATGTCATTGTTGAACTATCGATATTGAAACAATCGAAACAGGGACAATCGAAACGGGGACATCGAAAATATTGGAACACGATTATTGCTGTGACCGTGTAGGGGTGGGGGGGGGGGGGGGGGGCACTCTCTCGTTGTCGTTGTACGTTGATTTGATAAACTAGTAATTACCGTCGGATGTATTGTAAAGACAATCAATAGATTACACGCTGGGTAAACAAGCATGGTCGGAATTTGCGTTCGTTGATAAAGAAGGCCTGTAATATCACGAATTAGAACAGAAACGGTGTGGGTTATAATCACAAACAATGACGTCACTTCATTAGCCCCAATTTCTATCTTTACTAATAGCCGTAACAGCTGATTTGGAACAGTCAACAGTTCAGGAAACGCGTATTTTGTTTAACTTGATCCGATTGTATCGACAATACACAGTAAAATTACAGTTAACGTATCCCTACCGCATTCTCGCTTCACATTTTTAGGTAGAATGCTAAAGAAAATTTAAAGATTTTGAAGATGAAACTATACAATCGAATCAGCCCAGGACATATACATATTCACAACTAAGCGTAGAATAGGTTATCCACATCTAAATCGGTAAACACATATCTGAGGGGTCGATAGACTGTATCGATATACCGAATCGCACCGACCGCATCGCATCGTGACTGCGTGGGCGACTGCCTTCCACTCGCGTTTCAAGATAGACGATTGAATTTGTATTACAAGTCGGGTTCGTTAATGGCGAGCCTTTGAATAAACAAACACAGACCCACACACTCTCTTTGTTGCGCCCAATATATGTGGTGTAGATGTAACATTATGCGGACGGGTACACGGGCCTGGTGGCGATTCATCAGTGACGTCACCTGCGCAGTGTCGCCTAGACTGTACCTACTGCACGTGCGTACATCTACCACATGGTATTGGGCTAGTGGACACATGGTGGGATATCCAGTGACCTAGACGTTACAGAGAGTGGATTTTCGTCTGTCCGGTGACGTTCTGGTTTCATTACCTTATTTTGTGTTGAAAGTGTCACATGCATTGTGCTTTTTACTGTTCTTTATGTTTTTGTTTACCTATTTTTACTATTATAGGGGCATTTTTTTAATTTTTCAGGAAATGGTCCAAATCCTGTTCTTGTTACTTCTGACAGTGATCTTTTGAATCGATGGGAATAATGATAATAATTGCCTGTTAAGTATTTTTTTCTTGGGTAGATAGAGCACAACTCTCTGTCAAGACTACCTCTGCTTACTCATGTTGTTCATCTTCGTGTAGTGGATAAGTGGATACTACCTCGGGTTTCCGTGGTGCACATTCTACCTCAAACACATGTAAGATTCTGACCCCGCCGACATAAAGTGTGTATTTTAGGCGGGAAAGCTACATGTCATTTACTCGGGATCAGCTGGACCTAGGTGTCTACTCTCTGTAGTATGACCAATTGAAAAGCCCGATGTTCAAGGACAGTTGGGTCCAGTTACGAACTGAAGATTTCGACCTTAGGATGCTACTTCGACTCAGTTGCCCAGATAACCCTCATTCACCTTCGAATGTTTGACCCCTACACAACTCACTAGCCCAACATGTCGTTTTGTCCGAAGCGAGCTCATACAGCAAGACATAAAAGCCCTGGGATCTGTTGATTATGCAAATGTCCACGGCGGCTCGGAGTGGGTTTACTGCCCTAATCAAGCGACCGTTTAATAACTCACTATCTATCACCGCTGTGCTCCAGCTGATTGTATATTTGCATTTCCCGACATTTACATTCCAGGCACCTTGCCACTTCGTCACCGGAGGTCCGCGACTCTCGTAAAACGTCCGGTTTATACTGCAAGGGACGTTTAGCGAAATTAATTTCAGCTGGTTTTTGTGTGCGTTTGTGGTAAATCATGTCCAAAGGAAGTCCTACCGAGGACGCTAGGCAAACCGAGAACCTCCAGACACATTCCTTCAAGCCCTAGAAGGCTGCGGCATTATAACGTCGTTAAATTTATTATTTAAAGATATTTTCTTAGTGCTTTTAGTCTAAAAACTGCGGTTTGAGAGTCAAATTCATATTGTGTTAAATATACTTGTATCAATGTGATCAATACATACCATACCGAGGGTCTTTGTTGTTTTTGAATTAGTTATTTGGTTTAACATGTTATTCGCCTAACCGTTGTGTACCATAATTGGATACTATAGAGAAAGATTACTGTATTCGTTTATTGTAGGCAACTTTTTAGTGCAATAGTTGATGAAATATTTAATGGAGAGTTTTTGCATGCACAGTTTTCTGTGGTAATTGGCTAAGAACTTTTTGCTGGAGGAAAAGTTCACTTTAGTAGGCTAGTTATCCAATATTCACTCTTTGCTCCACAATCTCAGATCTTCCTCATTGAATCTGGCTGTCCTCAGGTCGCATTGCTGCTGGGGAGGGAAGGTTCAACACGGCCACAGACAATATCATCAACACTGAGACCAAGTCCATCCCTGTCAACAAGAAGGGGGTCTACTTCGCCTTCAGGGACCAAGGCGCCTGCATATCCCTTCTGGCCATCAAGGTGGGTCTTTAGAACATGTGTTTGTACTCTAGGGTTACATCACCAAAATATAACATCATGAATTCCAACTGTTGGTCAAACATATCTGATAGTGTGTGGGCTCCAAAGTTACATTCGACGGATACGTCAAGTTGTTGCTCTGATCAAACTAAGTCCAGTCAATTGCTTGACAAGTTCAGTAACCAGTTGTTTATGTTAAAAAATGCTCATGAAGATTTCAAATTTTCAAAAATTATCATAGAATGACTTTTGGAATATTTGAAGGTAACTAACTGATGTATGCTCAAAGCTGTAAAGTATCATCAAAAAACCTCTTTATTCACATAAACAAATTTAACAATTAGGCTACTTATTTTTTACTGTATACTTAATATCATCAAATTTTTTCAACTTCTTTTTCGCAAATTGAAATGACTATTGGATCATTAAAAAATTGTTGGACTGTTGGTAAAATTAGTGAACAAGTAACTAATCTGATCTATGCAAAAGGTGTGCAGGAAATCTCCAAAATAGTTTTTCCTGTGTTTGGAAAAGCTCAGTAACACAAATAAAAACAAATTCATTCTTTATTTACACCACCTTGTTTTTTTTTTTATTAAACAGTGCATACTTTAAAATATATTGAACTTTGTCATGCTACATTTCCATAATATAAACTATTATTTTTCTTTATCACTTTAAATTCTTATTTTTCTATGATAAAAAAAATGTTACTGTGTTGATTTTCAACTATTGTATCTCTAATTGTTCGGAAAGCACCAAAACACATGCTCCTGTTACAGGTGTACTACATCACGTGTCCCGAGGTGACCATCAACTTTGCACATTTCCCGTCCACACCAACCGGTCGAGAAGTCACCCTCATAGAGCAAACTACAGGAACGTGTGTTGATAATGCGGAGGTAACGTACAAAACATACTGTAAAATTAATTTTTATTATGATAGCTGGCTAGTAAAACACCTGATCTTAGACAATAAGAAGCAAACAGATCATCGCACACCTACACTCAAATTTGGGTTAAAATACACAACTAGGAGGTGTCCCCATCTCAATAATTGATACTTATTGATTGAAAAATTAAACGTAAAATTCTACCATCTAACCACTTTAACCAAATAACCACAAGTTTACCACCACTTACACTTATCTTTATGTATTTGAAAATACATTAGCTTACTGTTTTGCAGGTTATCGACACGCCCACCTACCTGTGCAAAGGAGATGGGAAGTGGTCTCTTCCTACCGGAGGCTGCAAATGCAAGGCAGGGTTTGAACCGGACTTTGAGAAGCAAACGTGTAATGGTGAGTTTTATGTTTAAAATCAGTGATTAATTTTATCAGTCAAAATATCGGATTATTGCAATTCAAAACCAACAACACCTTAAGCAAAAATGCATGGGTATAAGTTAACGATTCTTTATATATTGATTTAAAGTTTAAGGTTGTGCAGGAATGAACTCATTGCATAAACCATTGTTTTTAGAGACAAAAGTATATTTATTCTGCCATTTATGCATAAAAGGACACTTTAAAAACATATTCGTGTTTAAAATAGGGTGGAATTATCATCATTGATTTTCAAAAGTCCACTGATCAATATATTTGAACTGATCAAGGATAAATTAACTAGTCAAACCTTACGACTCTCGTAAAGAACGAGAATCAATTGGCAATGCAGAATGACACAAATGAGTAATGTGTCAATTTGGCTCTATTTGTTGCATTGCAAGCTGCAATCAAAGACAGATTTACGACTCATAAAGTCTCAGGAACGGTTGCAGCTCAGGAGGAATTTATATCTTTCCAAGTGTCACATCAATTAAGTTCCTGGCTGGAAGTAGTTTAACGGAGTCTCGCTAAGTAAACTTCGTGCACTTTCTAGTTCCTAATGTGATCATTTTGGAATTTATAGCGTAATATTTTTTGGATAAATGGTATGCATAATTTGATTTCTTTTTTTCCCTAAGCGGCCTGTTAAAAAGGAAAATTAGTTATTATAGTTAGTTTTTTGTTATTATATATTATTATATATCTTTTTATATTATAGTCCAGTCAATAAAGGGATTGTAGAGGACATGGAGAGGGGGAATTTTTTTTTCTGCGGGAATGTGTTCGGGGTAGTTAGAAGGTAAAATACCAAAAGTCCCCGCCCCTGTCCCTGCTGCTTCAGCGGGGGGAGGTGGGGAAAGACCCCATTTTTTAGTTTTTTACTTCTACACTGAAAACCGTGCATCGTACGGAAGAAATGTAAATTAGAAAACGAAAGATGATAAAATTCTCTACAAGAATGGTTATATTAATTTCTTATGTATATGCATTAGTTTTAAAGATATTCTCAAAATAAGATAAAAATTATTTTCTAAATTGATTTTTTCAGACGTTTTTTTCAAATAAATTCATATAATCAATTAGCCTGCTGTTGTTTTACATTAGTAAGGATAGAAAACAGGTTTTGGAGCACAAACCTATATAATATAATATATCCATCGTATATATTGTGTTAAAAATAGTTAATATAAATTTAAATAAGTTTTGTATATTTGTCATGGAAACAAGTAATTTTGGCATAATTAATACACTAAAAATGAAAAAGATTATGTTTGCAGCTACATTTGTCCAGGTTTATTTATAACAACTACCGAAACCAAGACTTTTAATACTATTGTTCGTTCTCTGACTCACTTGGGACGAGAGGGTCCGACTTCTGTCCCAAAAACAGGTGCCATCTGGAACTGGGACTGAGAACCACCATCTAGGACATCTCCATCATTCAATTCTTGTTGATTAGACTCAATATTGGCTATCGAAGTGATAATGCGGTGTAGGCCTATATATTTTTCATCTTCCTCATTCATCAGAATGGGCATTCCATGTAAAAAGTTCCATTAGCAGTTCTGGCATAACGGCCAACGAGGAACAATTAATGGACATTTCATTGCATGTACATCTTTTATTGCTCCAATCTTTAGTATATTTGCAAAAAAAACATTCTCAACATTTCTCGTGGGTTAGGTGGTTCATTGGTTAAAAATGGGAACAGACTACCTTTTTGCGCTCCCAACCCCACATTTTTGAGGGTAGTTGGTAGTTGGTTTTCCAAACAGAGTTGTCCTTGATGAAATTATACAAATGATGAAATGTCATATATTTCTAGACAGCAATTTTTTAAAATCACCCACTCTTCCCTGAAACTCAAGACATTATGTCAATAGCATCTGGGGTTGTAGGAGATGAATCCATTAACTGTTACGATGCTCTATTACGTGGTCAGCAAGTAATTAATCAAATGGTAATCATTTTCGGACAACAAGCTGTCATGGGAAAATATGGCTCTCCCTTTGTCTTCTGTGAGTTCAACCATTGATATTGCAATAATCAAAACGTTGTAGCAAAACCTTTATTTTCTGTTTCAAAGGATTTGTATAAGTTAAAAAAAGTTATCAAGATTTAAAGGATTGTTACGATTTGAACTTGCTCCATTTCCCTTTATTTTTTGAGATTGGTATGATAAAGACCAAAAAGGCTGCTCTGTTCAATACCATAGCAATAAAAAAACAGCACGATTATGGCAGGCCAAGAAAGACGCTACAGATTGAAAAAGTCAGTAGCAGTGGCGGTCCCAGCATTTAATTTGGAAGTTAAAGCATAATAACGTATAGTTTTATAGTATTTCAGCTCTAAAATATCTTCAAGCTACTAGTATTTATGTTAGGTTATAAAATATTTTGGAGAGGATACACCCCCCCCCCCCCACACCAGGGACCGCCACTGGTCAGTAAGTATTCATTTGAACAGCGACACCGAAATTATAGTAACCAGGAACAGTTAATCTCTTAACCAAGTTTTTTGCAAATGTACTAAAGCTTATAACAGTGTCACATGCGCAATTTGTGCATGCAAGAAAATGTCCATTAATTGTTCCTCGTTGGCCGTTATGCCAGAACTGCTAAGCGAACTTTTTACATGGAATGCCCATTCTGATGAATGAGGAAGATGAAGAATATATAGGCCTACACCGCATTATCACTTCGATAGCCAATATTGAGTCTAATCAACAAGAATTGAATGATGGAGATGTCCTAGATGGTGGTTCTCAGTTCCAGATGGCACCTGTTTTTGGGACAGAAGTCGGACCCTCTCGTCCCAAGTGAGTCAGAGCACGAACAATAGTATTAAAAGTCTTGGTTTCGGTAGTTGTTATAAATAAACCTGGACAAATGTAGCTGCAAACATAATCTTTTTCATTTTTAGTGTAATAATTATGCCAAAATTACTTGTTTCCATGACAAATATACAAAACTTATTTAAATTTATATAAACTATTTTTAACACAATATATATGATGGATATATTATATTATATAGGTTTGTGCTCCAAAACCTGTTTTCTATCCTTACTAATGTAAAACAACAGCAGGCTAATTGATTATAGGAATTTATTTGAAAAAAACGTCTGAAAAATCAATTTAGAAAATAATTTTTATCTTATTTTGAGAATATCTTTAAAACTAATGCATATACATAAGAAATTAACATAACCATTCTTGTAGAGAATTTTATCATCTTTCGTTTTATAATTTACATTTTTTCCGTACGATGCACGGTTTTCAGTGTAGAAGTAAAAAACTAAAAAATGGGGTCTTTCCCCACCTCCCCCCGCTGAAGCAGCAGGGCCAGGGGCGGGGACTTTTGGTATTTTTACCTTCCAACTACCCCAAAACACATTCCCGCAGAAAAAAAATTTCCCCCTCTCCATGTCCTCTACACCCCTCTTTTGAGCCTTCATTGACTGGACTATTATATGTAAAAGAAATTAACAGAAGTAGGTCATAAGCTATTTGGTCGGCAAATTAATAAACCAATTGTTTACGTTTAAAGATTATGTTCTATAAAAATGTGCTTTTTTTTGTAATTATAATAGAAAATTCATAACAGATTTTTGCTATGTTAATTAATTAGTTAGTTACAGCATTGCTATGTGACTTTTAATTAATTGGTTAAATAAAAAGCACTCTTAAGTTCTTTACTTCATTTACCAGAAATTAGTTAATTGATAAAATAAATGTTTAAATAATCTACTTGGAGTTATGGTAAATAGCCAATGTTGAAACTCATGATACAAAAATAAAATAAAATATTGTTAAAATGTGTTTAACAATATTTGACTTAATTGCAATCAAAACTTGGGTTTGTATATTCCATCAATTGTTATATCCTAAAATGTGAGATTGCATTTTATCAGATAAACTTCAGAGGTGAAGTATAAAGTTAAATGACTTTTTGCTACTTACATTTTCTATTAAACTGAAGGAAAATGTGATTTAAGAGTGTAATATTAAAAGCGTAACTTTCTCACCAGTTTAATGCAACTGAGATACACTTTATAACTTGGTTATTGTCGGGGTTCAGCTTTAGCCTTTGTTTAAACATTTGATATTTCACATTAGATAGTCTTGTATTTATCTGATAGCTTTTACAGTATTTGTTTGCACTAACAATAATTGATCAAAGTGATTACTTTGTTCTTGGATTCTATTAATCTTTATCACTTTCTTCTAACATTGACAATTATAAATTCTACAAATGTTTGATGTTACAAAATTTTCATTTAAAGTACAGTAACTTTTAACTTGTATTCTGTGGGTGTTAAAATAACATAAATTCAAATGAAACATATATGGCCAGTTTATAATTTATAAAACTAAAAAAAGTTTTGAAACTTAAAAATTAATTGCATAAGTTTTATCTTACATAAATGTTAAATCTTATGTGCACAGTAAGATTTAAAACCTTTTACATAAAGTATTTTAGTGACTATTTTGTTATCAAGACAATCACGCTTAATCCCAGCAGTCCACGGGGTGATTCTGGCACTTGAACATTTTAAAATGTTTATTTGCATATAATATCTAATTGTCAGATATGTATTTAAAATTACACTTATAACGCTCTTTCAATATTCATCCCTATAGTCTTTTCTTATGACCATATTCATCACATTTATTGGCTCCATTACTTAAGGGTACATAATGAGGCTGGACAATCGCTTACACCACAAAATAGTTCTGGTCATACATTGTTCACTACTTAGTCCTTTCCTTTTCCAAAATAATTTTCAACAGAACTCTTCCAAGATACCATTTTCCTTTCCCTTTCTGACATTGGAGGGCTTTCATGGTGACCAATTTGTTTAAACTTCCTATTTACATTGGTATCACCACCCATACAACATTCATCTGTCCAAATAGTTCCTCATTTGATTTCCCCTCTTTGTATTAATGCCTTTAAAACATTTATTATACATAAATTATCGTATATTTCCATTTCTGCTCAATAACTCTGTGCAACATAGTTCTAACCTCCATGTCTGCTTTACAGTTTGTCCCCCTGGCAAGTACAAGCACAAGACTGGAGATGAACACTGTCAGCCATGTCCGGCCCACAGTAAAGCCTCGGACTACGGTCTGGCCGAGTGTAGATGCAACTCCGGGTACTACCGATCACCCAAGGACCCCAAGAGCTCTCCGTGCACCCGTAAGTTTGATTTTTATTCTATTTTGGAAATTTTGTTGTATAGGAACGGTCTAATCTCTGACGTTACGCCCAATAATAAATTGCATGGTTCAGAATTGATCTGGCTTGGTATCGAATGAGCAACATTATTTGATCAACCTATTTGAAGGCAAGCACCATATCCACTCTGCCGCAGGACAATTAATTTTTCTTAATTTGTTTTATCTACATCAAATCAGCGACATGAGTCATTTGTCAAAGTAATTTTTACATTATTACGTTTTTATGTCAAAGTTCATCATGTAATAGTCGAATGACAAAAAAAATTGTACATATATGTCTAATATTAGACTGTGATTCGGGAGTGAGCTGGTCTAGGGGTAGAACATGGGACCCAGAGGTTTGGGGTTTAAATCTTGCTGATTACCGCAAACCCTTGTAGAGCTAGTCTTAAGTAATGTGTACAACAGTTCCAAACTAGAGCTTAACATTTCAGGATGTGAATTTGGTACATAAAAAGATTAAACCTAAAAAAAATGTTTAACACTTTCCAAATATTATGATTAACGTAAGTAAAACTAACATCACAGGTTGTTAAATCTATAAAATAACAGTAACATTTTAATTAACTATCAAAATTAAATTATTATACATCGTATTTAATTTAAAAGTGTCAATCATAAACATAAATATAATTAAATACCGATTCCATTTTACATTGATCATTCAATGTTGTATGACTCGGTAACAGAGAAGAGAATTGTAACTGGATCATTTGTTTGCCAGTGATGATGTGTATTGCTGTGACAGTTAATTATGAAGGCGCTGAACTAGTGAACTTGTCTCAGCTGATTCCGTTCCCTATCATTGTTCTCGCAACTAATTAAAGTTGAACAAGACTGCAAGTTTTGTTGATTATCGTTCTGTGCCAGACAGATTTGACATTTATAATTAATCCTCATCGATTACCATGACCTCCATAATTGTTTGACTTTTTCTTAAACTAAATGGTAAGGTATTCTATGGAGAGTATGCATACTAATTCGGTTGGGGTAAATTAATTAGAAATCTAAATTAAATTAAATTATAAAAAAACTAATTGTGTACCTTTATTTTCTAGCATATTTAATTCTGGATAGTTTTGTTTATAGTGTTTTTTTTTAATAAATTATCACAGAAAATTGCTGGTCCTACCTAATAATTTTTTTTTATTAATAATGAAATAACTTGGGGAGCGAGCTTGGTCTAGTGGTATAGCGTGGGGTCACCAAGGTTTCAGGTTCAAATCCTGCCAATCACCAATGGATTTTATCAAAGTGATAATACCGCAATCTCTAGGCTCCCGGAAGTAATGTAACGGCAACTTTGGGCCCCTGTAGAAAAACAATAACAAATAATAACTTTTTGTGTAATTTTTTTATTTTTATGTGAAATATATTTGAAATATCTGATTGAGAAATAAGAACCCACCCCTTGAATTCTACCATTTATTAAAAAAACTTAATTGGATGTCTCCCCCTTTCTAATTTCTTCAAATAATTCAGTTTTTTCCACACAAAAAATGATTTTGAACGCTTCACAAGCAAGTCAAATTTTCTTGATGACAAATTTCAACCATTGTTCAACCCAATCAATTGATCACCCTGCAACCTTTTTGGAGGCAATTTTTATGTGACCGATGAGCAAATTAAATACAGTTTAATGAAAGGGTTGCAGATGTGGGGTGGACAGACATTAATTGGATTCTTGTAATGTTCGATGACAGGTATTGGTGGGGACGGACACTCATGTCCAATAAATTACACACTCGCTCGGCTCGACACCCTGATTGCTCCGAGGATATTAGGTGTCAAAGTCACAATATCCTCGGATTACATCGGAAACCGATCACAATTACTAAGCTGGGTTAAGAATGTTGGAATCCTTGATATGTGGAAATAACAGAGTTGGAATATTGGTTCATGTGGTCACTAGACTTTCAATTGTTAATTATTGGAATGTCTTCAGTATCCGTTATTTTTCATCCCCATCAAAAAAATATTTCAAAGAATTTATCTTTGATACCGATTGATTACTATTTGGTGTTTTTGAGTAAAAGGGGTTCTTCGATAATCTCATAGATTTAATGTTTTTAAAACAGTTAATCCAACCAAAGCAGTGTACCATGAACAATTTATGTTGAAAACCACATTGAACCATATAAGTTAAATAATGTGTTATAATATTATCCTGAAAAAACAGTCTTGTCACTGATTCCTAATAAAATAAACTGCTCTTAACTTATTTTCGTATTTTGTGAAGTAGCTCCTTCAAGGAATTACTTAAAAAATTATTTTTCGATTCGCTTACCTACTGGAAAATAAAATATAAAAATAGAAGAAATTTATATACAGTCAACATAATCATTGACTCTCCATGACTCAGTGTTTGTTAATATTACAATTAGATTTTAAATGGTATAAAGCGTAAAATTTTTCTTAAAACTTAAAAGGATATTATCAATAAAAAAGGTTTTCTCTGACAAACGCAGATGAAACTCGTGATCATTTGTTATGCAACTAATTAATCTCACTCAATCAATTCTGTTTGTTTGTAATTAGAGTCAATTGCTGTAATGAGTTTACCACATCCTTTGTCAAACATGATGGGTAATTTAATTATTACGTTATATTTTTAATGCCAGTATTGGACGGGTTGAAACCGGGCAACTAATGTAATTACCGTGGTTCCTATTGAACGGTATTCGCATTGTACATGGTTTTATGCAGTCCGTTAGACAATATTGATCGAAACACATCATACTCGGACATATTACACGGATATATCGGACATATTACACGGATACGTCGCCTCTGGGGTAGATCAAATGAGCTGTTGACTGAATGTATCAATATTGCAGACCCCCTCGGATGTGGATTGGTGTCAGGCTTTAGCTATTGGTCGGACATATTGTCAGGATGGTTTGACTCAGTGATGGGGGAAGTAATTAAAGTTTTTAATTAGTGTCTAATTTAAATTTGACGGATTAGTGTGGGCCCAAAAATTAAGGAAAGATAATTAAATATATTAATAATTTAGCTGTCAGCATTAGTTACGTTTGTTTATCATGCTAAACACTATTTTTATGTTGAATGCTTTGGAATGTTTTTATCGGGAAAGTGAAGTTAAAATTAAATGTGTCATCATATTACTCTATTGAGTTGACTAAATGTTGTTTTTGTTTACACCAGTGTCATTTGAATGAAGCAATTAGAAACCTTTTTAAAGGAAATTTTCCAAAAATATAATTTGTTTCTGGACATGGTAGGAATTAAACCCATCCCTTTTGTACCAAAGTCCTAAATGCCAACCAATAGCAACTCAACAAAAATTTTATCTCTCTTGACCCGTGCGTTTTTAGTTAGTGGATATATTTCATTGAGTTCAAAATATTAATTTAAATTATTGTAAAACAAAATTGATATTTTTTTTAACTTTAAACAAAGTATGTTTTTGTAAAGTATGTTCCTTGTAAAGTAAATAATTGTTTACATTCTACATACTGGATTACAAATAAAAAACCCCTAATATATACTAAATTAAAAAAGCTTTGAATAAAAATTTGTTTGTGCTCGCTGTACTAAATGAAGTTAGAAATTGTATCAATAGACTTACAAAACCCCAAATAAATTACACCATACAGCAAAAACATTCAATCTTTAGAAAATATGTTCAACAATTAGGTACCTGTTGTTCTTAGGATTTAGAGTTCAAACTGGCATAGGAGACACACAAAAACGCTACAAAAATATTCTTAGTTTAGTTTTAAGTGAAAAATGTAGTGTTTCGTGTCAGTTTAGAATCTTTCCCAAGCCTTCTATTGTCACTAAAAATCCTAAACATGTACTTCCTTAAGCTTTAAGTTACATTGTTAACCTCAATTAGGTAGGTTTGTAATGATTAGGTTAGTTTAGCTTGCTGATGTGGTTGTTCAGCCAAGTAACGCAGTAACCATGTTGTAAGGTGAGAAGTATGTGTAATGCAACATTCGCAGCATGTTTACAAGCCAAGTGTGTTGTGTGTAGGATGTGAGTTAATGCTGAGCCATTGTAGAGCTAGGCTGGGTGTTGGCTTCTGTACAATGAATGTCAGCTCCTGTCTTACATAACCTAACAAGTAACAAGCAAGTAGCTGCTTGCAAATCTACCTGTCATTCCAAGGACTCACTGTGGTCTGCTGTCTAAGTGGTCATTGAAGATATTCTTGGGTTTTTTGAGGAAGTTTGTGTTTAATCACTCTTTAATTTAAGAACTGGGAGAATGGGAAGGACAGTTATGATTGATTTTAGACCCCAGTGTTAGTTAATAGTCATTTGGTACTTTTACTATACAAAGTACGTTGTAGTTGTAGTAGTTTGGTATATTACCTTACAAAAATTTAAAATGTCCAAAAAATATATCGATTACATAAAATGTTAAAACTTGCAGAATACAAAAATTAATTAAAAAATGTCCAGAGTATGGCACATATATCGTACTATAATATAGATTTGCAGTGATAACAATATCCATGTGATCAAATGTTTTGTTTAGTGTCAGTTTTTGAAAAGATAAATATTTTCCAAAAAATAATGAAATAATATCTTTTTAAATCGTAGGTACAATTTGAGGTTCTATAGTGTCATCGATTATATGATGAAATACAAATAAAGCATATAAGAGCAATTGGTGGGTAACCAAAGAGTTTTATATAACTAAAAAAGCTGCAACCTCCTTTAAGTGAGCCTGAAGTAATGTAGACAACAATTCCGTGCTAGAACCTAGAAAAAGAGGAACAAATTGTTTAAAAAATGTTGAGTTATTCAAACAAATCTAAAATTGAGGAAATATGTATCGGAAATAAAGTTTGTGTTCAATACTACACCTACGTCTACTTCCATAGTTTAATTTTTTCTGTAAGAAATAAGTAAAATAGTGAAACGAAACACTCAATGATTGGTGACAATCGAGGTCAATAAGCTCGACTGAGGATGGTTAACATTTAAGTCGAGATGCAGATAATGAGGGTTGGGTTGGGGATCTTAGATGGGCCAAGGAGGATCTCATTTTGCTCAGGTCGGAGTTAACGCCACCACAGAACTATCGGAGCGGAAGCCTTCTTAGACAATTGCCTTCATTGTTAGTCCTCCTTACTTCCCCCCCTGTATCAGGTTACGGCAGCCATTAATGTCCTCTGATTGGTCCAAGGTGGAACCCTGATGCTAATTTGCAAATACCAACTTGCTCGTGGAATTTGAATTTTTTTTAACTAGTTTGTGAACTAGCACTAGTGAAGGTTGTGTATGCTAGTTTGTAGACATTACCTCATATTTCACATTACCTCAGGCTTAGCCTGGAGGGTTGCAGAATTATTACGTAGGAAAAATACATTGGTGATTTGTGGGGTTTTAACCTAAGTACTTGGTGACTGAAATCTCACATTCTACCTTTAGGCCAGCTAACATACAATCCAAACATGAATTAATTAAAGTCCTAGTTGGGATTGGACAGTTTAAAAGTTAATTAGTAATTTTTTTCATTAAGATAATTATTAGGAAAGTTTAATTTTTTTCCTTTTTTTACCTTTATCTTTCAATTGTGTAGACAGTTGATGTGTCTTCTTAAAACTATTGCTCAAGTATTTTTTTCTCATGTTTATTGTATTTGATTCTTTGAATGTGACGAATCAACTTATTTTCTGATGATCCTTGAACTTTCAAACTTGTTAGAGATTCTCATACATTGCATCTCTGTGAACCAACATGCACAATAAGGGAACCATTTATTGCAAAATAATTTTTTTTTAGAAGTTGAGATATTGTTTCATTAAAATGCGAAAATGATTAGTCTCAGGGGTCTTAGATCAATCACCTTAAGGTTTAGGTTATGTCTAGTCTAGTCCTAACCTTAAATAGGACTTCTAGATATGGATAATTATAACATTTAGACCTAAAAAAAACATAAAAAACATAGGTAGTGAATAAACAGAATCCCTTCATAGTCTCCTTCAGTATTTAACCTCAGCTAACCTCAGTGTCATGAACGTTCTGTCAGATGTTCCGAGGTGTCCCGCATTAACGTTTATCTCTTGTCCAGTGTCCAGTCTGGCTACAACTATGCAAATATCCCACATGTCCAGTGATAAACTGCCCACAGCTGAATATATTGCCCTCAGTTTTTGTCAGTTTGTGCCATTAAAATATTCAATACGAGACATTGAAACCAGTCGAGCGAATTAATAGTGCTGTGACAGCGTGAAGGGATCGGCTCCCGTGTTACGTGCAAGACATGTCACATCTGCATGTCCAGACGTGCAGCGGAATTGTAAATTAATGTTTACCTCGGAAATTAATCTATGCTTAGCGGATTGGAATAATTGAAGTGAGATTCCAAGTTGAATGTGTTGAAAATATTTGATTCTTTACAACAGGATGCACATTTTGGTGTACTAATTAATCTTAATTGATTTGTGAAGATTATAACAAATCGATAACTTTTAAAGCTCCGACAGGAATAGAGGGTTTAGAGATGAGGTCAAAGCCCAACAAACATTATCCTTGTCACCCATAATGTAGGGTTAGGTGTAACCTGTCTGTTGTGGTAATGTGAACAAGCTCATCATCAGAATCCATTTAAACTTGTACCTCACAGTATGCTTAAACAAACTATAGGAGTTTGAGGTCCTTTTATGATCTTTACGTTTGTTTTAATACCGTATTTAAACAAAAATTATTACAGAGATTTCAAATGGGCATTATTTTTAGGTTAGTAAATTGGAAAAGTCAGTGTGAAATTGTAACCAAGTTAGAATCTTATTGTTATGTTACTAGTAAATATAAAAAGGACTTGGAAATAAAAAAATATGTTTTGTGCTTCTAAAAATAACTATTATTAATCAAGCACAAAATAAAGAATAATAGATACAAATTAATCTGTTGAATCTATTAATTTATTAAATTTATATTAACTGAAGCAAATAATTTGATAGTAGATATTAAAAACCTGAATCTTTTTATCTGAAATTATACCCATGCTAACTTTATAAATCAATTTGTTTTATTTTACTTACCTTTTTTTATTTAAACTTTTCGTGTGTAATTCAGAGTTAGTAAACGTATTACTAACAGTAACAATATTATTTATTTATTTCAAAGTAATTGTTGTTCCTAATATAGCAAGCTATGGACTTCGTTATTTTTAACATGAGCTAATTGCTTATTCATACCGGTAGTGTTCTAATTTCGACCACTCCCAGTTAAAACCTACCCAGGAAAGTCGAGGCTCGGCAGATAGGCAGGTGGTGAAATGCTCGTAATGTACAATTATCCACATTAGCCGACTGTTACTGTTAATTAATAGTTTTGGCTCTGTTCTCTGGAAATAAAACGTTAATTGTTGACTGGCAGTGTCAGTAATGGGCCCTTCCTTGGTGCCAGTTATTATTAAAAACTGCTCGGAACACTTATCAGATGTATCTCTGTAGACAGGTTTCTGTCTTTCCGTTTTTGGCTCGGTCATTAATTATCTGGCCTATAATTAAAATGTGTTTAGACACGTGAATATATTTTGGATTGCTTCATAACACTGTTACTGAAACGGTCTAAAATATAAGTTTCAGATGAGGATATAATTCCTAGATATGGATAAGCGATGAACATTAAATCAATTATTTGTCACAACAATTACTTAAATTTCAAAAGTAATAAAACCACTTTTTTAATAGATAATTTTGATTTAAGTGTTTTTGAAGAATCCTTACTTAACACTTTTAGCCCCGTCATTTTATATTTAAAATATTTTTGATAAATGAAAAAACAATCTTATAGTTCTGGAAATTTCTTTAAAATGACCTCCTAGGTGTCTATTTGAACACACCAAAAAGCCCCGTGGGTGGGGGAGGGTCGGGAAGTGGCCGCCATCTTGGATTTTAGGTTCCACTTTTAGGTTTTTCCTTAACATCTCGAAAACTATCAACTTTTTATATACTATATTAAATTAGGAAATTAAAGGAGATTAAATTTAAGGGAAAAGTATATCATGTAACTATTTTGGTTTAACCATTTAAAAGATATAATAAATTATCTTATTCATATATATATCCAGTACTCCTTCAATAATATTAATTTGTATGTAAAATAAATGCTAAACAAGGCAAAGCCTATCCACCTAAGGTCAATACAATATAACCAATATTCATGAAATTTTGACAACATTTCCAGTAATTTGACACTTAAATAAAAAAAATTTGTGCAATATAAGGGCGAGGGTGAGCACACAAAAAAGTTGTAATTTAAGAAACTACTGTATTACAAATAATGTGGTTATTGTGAGCTTGCCAGCGCCTTAATTTTGGACCAATTTTGGTGAATAAAGTGTGCATGCATTTATTTATTTGTGTAATGAAAATGCATTTAATGTTTTGATACTTATCAACAATATTAATAATTGTCATTATGTTGAACACTTTAATTGGGACACAGCACATTTTGCAGTTTTCATTAACATAATATCCATCACATGTTGTTTTTGAGTTGTAGTAATGGTTCATTTAACACCATTCATGGTTTATTTACACATTGCACAGTTCTCTTAGCCAATCAGCATTACTTGATGTTTATAACATTGACGAGTACATATTGAATGTACTTTGGTTTATTACAACTATTACAGTTTTTGTACATAATCATCAGCATATGATATCACTTTCAGGAGTTACGTTATGCACTTTTTTCTGATGGAGTTTATGGATCTATTCTTTCCAAAAACATTTCTGGTTTCCCCTTATAATTTGTACTATCCACTTTGATGTTTTACCTACCATTCTGTTAACTTTACAGAGCCGCCGTCAGCGCCACAGAACTTGACGGTGAATTTTGTCGACCAGTCTACGGTGATTCTGTCATGGACTTCTCCTAGTTTCCTCGGAGGTCGCTCAGACACGGTGTACAGAGTCGAGTGTGATGCCTGCGGTCCTAGTGTCATCTACTCTCCAACTACGGTAAGTCATAATCTTACCGTCTATCATAACATAATCTAAACTATAGTGTTCTACTTTCCTACAACGGTGAGTTTCCTCCTGCCATACACAAGTAGACGTCCTATTATTATTCAATATAGCTGAGCAAGATGAGAATATTTACCAAACGAAAGAATATCAGGAGTGTTTGCTGTGATCATGTTTATATCAATATAACTCTGAAGTGAATTCGAGGTTAACAACAATTTGAGTAATCATTTGCATAAGATTTGTTTGTTTTTTTTGGACTAAAACAATTCTTTTTAATTGATAGATAGTGTGGCATACATGGAAAAGCTTCCAACATCACTGAGTGTGTCACCAATAAGTAATTATTGAGATGACTGTACAAAATAACTGAGGTGACTGTTTTGAAAAAGAGTTCTTGTGTCCTATCTACCACATCCTACACACACACCCTACTTACCATTCTTATTGACATGATCTACCTGTAAGTGAGGTTCCAAAAGAAATTTTTGTTTAACAACACAATATATTAAATAAATTTGTTTAGCCCCTGAGCTGGTTTTGTGACTAAATCATTAAATAAATTGAGTTACCTTCCTCAATCAGCTCATAGTAGTGTTACTAATGTAACGGCTGCTTTAGCATCTTCGTGCTATCATCAGACCTTCAGCCTTTATGGCGTCGTTAATATACAAAAACACAAACTGTCACACATACATAAACGGGAGTTTTTAACAAAACAGGCCTGTTCAACACAGTCGAGCAAGTAGCTGACTGAAATGGACGTAACATTTGTAACACTACTATGAGCTGATTGACGAATGTAACTCTATTTATTTAATGATTTAGACACAACATAGTTTAACACTAATAATTGGTAAAGAGAACCTCCCAGTTTGAAATGTACACATTTATGTAATAGCTATCAGACATAAAGGAACTTAAACTTTGGTGTTGGTCAAATTCACTACCAGGTTTGGACCTACCTAGTACTTCTACTTAAGTCACAAAACTAGCCAAGAAATTGTTTAACAATCATTTATTTTTGTTTCAGGACATATTCAATGACACCAAGATAACAATATCGGGACTGAGCCCTGTGACGACGTATCGGTTCCAAGTTTTCTCCGCGAACGGTGTGAGTGACATGACCAATGAGCCGGGAGAGTACGTGGACATCACAGTTACGACAGAAGCCTCCGTCATGTCTGCGACTGTTAACAACGTCAGAACTACATCCGTCAAGGCTTCTGAGATTACACTTACGTGGGACCCTCCGTTCACACCTGACTCTGACATGGACTCTCCGGACCACGTGGAGATGTATGAGGTGAGTGGAAGATTAAATTGCCTGTAATATAAATTGCTCAAAGTTATGATTAGTTGGTAGTTATATTAGACAGGAGTTAGTTGTGATGAAGTAAAATTTTTTAATCATCTGTTCACTTTAAGTACAAAATAATACTGATTTGAATCTTTTTAGCATACTTTTGCTTTACAGTGTAATCTATACATATTTGACTGTGCCATATAGGTTGTGAAAGAGAACATGACTGATAATTAATTGATGACAAGTGATAAGTTTTTGGTGAGCAGTGCACTAGGCTTAGAAGCACCTTAACATTAGCAAACCACAACTTAGTTATTGTTTGTTCTGTTGTTTTCTTTACTACACTGTTTAGAAGATATGGGAATAGTTTACCATTCATAGTACGGAAACATGAAGAGCAAACTAAAGTATTCTTGTCTTATCAGGTGCGATGTTTCTCACGACATGAGGAGATCAACGCCACCAGCAAGATGACGACAGAGAACCGCATCTCATTCACCGGACTGAGGCAACGGACGGAGTACGGCTTCCAAGTGAGAGCCAAGACAACTCACGGCTGGGGAGACTTTAGTCCAACTGTCTTCAAGACAACGGGTCAAGTTTTGGGCACAGGTATGGTGAAATGACAGTCCATCTGGTAAATTTCTAGGTTTTAATAACTGTGTTCGTTCATTGTAAGTGAGATCGAATTTATTTTCTATGTTCCTGTTTAAAGTTAATTGAAGGTTCTATGTGTCCTGAATTGTCTGACATTGAATCGATATTGACTGTAATTGTCTACATCTTGTCAAAACAATTTTTTTAAGTATGCATTGGTTTTTTTTCCATCTCAATCTTCACCATACTGTTATTCCTATAGCTGTTTCCTTTTGTGTCTCATAAACTACTACTTTAACAGTGATATCAAAAATATTATGTTTTCAACGTAAAGTCTACTAGGCAGTGTGGTTGGAGTGCTTACCTTTTGAAAGATGCCGATTTAATCCCTAAATTAATCAATTGTAGACCCTCTTTCCTTATGTCACCAAGCTGATTTTTTACTGACACTTTGAAAAAAGGTCAAAAAGACCAGAATTTTCTTAAATAATGAGTAAACAACGCTGCTAGCATTGGGACGTTAAACCATGTAAATACTGGCTAAAGCCTCATAGCTTGAAACCAAAACTCTTGGTCAAGGTTGTTTTACTATGTAAGCCCTGACCTGTTTGTAGCTTACATCGGAGATGAAGACAACATGCAAGTTAGAATCATCGCAGGAGCCACTGTAGCCGTCGTTGTCCTCTTGGTCATCATAATCATCATGGCAGTGCTCTTCTTGAGAAGGTTTGTAGATAACTAGTCTCACCTATATGTGATTTGTTTATTTTTCAACCAGAATATTAGTGGAGAACTGGTAAGGGTACTAAAATAAATCATGCACTAGGTTAAGTTGTAGTGAATTCGAGCTCCTCTTCAATTAATGCACACTCCAAGCAAAATGATATGTCAAGCAATATTACCGTACTAAGTTTGGAAAAAAAAGTGTACACGCAACAGTGTTCTTGGTATTTCACAGAGAATTTAAATCTTTCACTTTCAGTCTGTTAGTGTGAATTGTAGTTGATTGTCAAATAATAAGCAAGTGTATTAGACATAATTTAATACTATAAATGGCTTGAAGTACTTGTATTATCGGTAATCCAATTGGTTGCCGTGGCAACTAGTTTCGGGTCACAATGGAGCCATCGTCAGTTGTTACAAGGACAGGATTACTTCTTCCGAAGGTCATCATATTTCACAAATATTTACAAACAACGAAAACACAACACGCATAACTAGAGTTTTTTTTTACGATGCGACAGGCTGGAGTTAACATCTAGTCTCTAAACTTGAATCATATTTCAATCATCCCCAATTAAATTTACTTCACATCATTTTACCCTTATAATTAATGCAATACAAATTATATATTAAAATCCAACTACTAAAATTGAGCCATGGGTCTTGCTAATTTTCCTGCAAAATTACAAGATTTTACAATGCTTTCAACAAAGGCAACATACAAATTACACTATTGCAATGAAAGCGAACATTTAATATTAATTTGTATGCATCGAAAATCATTCTCTATTATAACTATCAACAACAACAATGATCTAATGAAATCATGTGATTTTTTACAGTCGAACCAATGATGAATGCAACAAGAAGCAACCTAGTGATTGTGACACTTTAGAATATCGAAACGGAGAAGGTGAGTTGTGGAAGCTTCTTAAATAAACAATTACTCTACCTCAAGTATGTCCAATGAAAATCCAAAAATTGTTTCTTCTAGGCTTTATCAAAACATAACTAATGTGTAGCCCATTTAATAATTAAAAACATAGGCCTACTGTTTTGATTTTGGAAAATATCTATTTCATATCTTTTTACAATATAATGGTTCATTTACCAAATAAATAATTTGAACGTTTAGCAATAGACTTATTTAGTAATTTAGCTGTTTTATTGTTATCCTTCACTGTAATTTTGTAATTTGATGATACACAAACCTACTCGAAATAATTTGTGTGTCTAATGTCCGAAAAGTGTGAAAGTCCCTCCCCAAAAAAGTTTTACTTGAACTAGCATTGTTAAAACGAGTGTTTACAAATCCATAGTTTGTGGTTTTACCCTGTACATTTTCTACCCCACACACTAGAGTGCCCCTGTAGGGTTGTCTGCACTTAACCCCTACCTTACCCCATATGGTCTGTTTATGCCACCCAGGACTTGTAGTGACATACAGTAAGTTTTCCTCTCAAATTGCTAAACTCTACGACGCTTTCTGCTTTCAATGTTCTAATTGTGTGCCAATTGTTTACGCTTTTGTCTACTGTCAATATTGTCATTGTTGATTTAAAAGGTTATTTAATGTGACTTGTGATAAATTTGTCAACATTTGGTTTTATATGTTATTCACATTATAGATTAGCCAGTGTAATTGGCATATTTATCAAAACCCTAGTTTGGAGAAATTTCTAACAAGTTCTTTGTTGGTTTTATTTGGATGTAATGTATTAATTTGTTTAAAGAAAGACATTTGTACTTTCAGATATAATTATTTAGTTTTAAAACCTTTAACATTTTATTCATAATTTTAATTTTATTATATCTATCTTATTTATCCAAAAATAATTTACTGAACAATCTACCAAAAGTAAAAATGCTCTTTTATATGTCAAGTTTTAAAGAAGCATTTGAGAGTTTTACCATTGGCTTACTGCATGTGTGCATGTGCTTCTTGTGATTTAAAGAGTGCCATTGACAAACTAAAACCTTTTTTATTCTGATGTAGGTAAAATGTTTGTAAAGACATTAATCTGCTTACAATATAAAAAAAAAATAAAATATGTAATCAATATTTTTTAAAAGATTAATACTTGGTTATGAGTTTTGTAAAAAGCTTTATAAAAAGAGGTTTTAGTCTTTATTATTAAAAAGCGGAACAATGAAAAGTAAAATTCTTTGATTCAAGGATTTGGGGGTTGGAAGTATGACGGGGGACTCAAAGACTTAGGGAGGGTGGAGGCACTTAGCCCACTCTTTGTAATTGGAGGGAGAAATTTGTAGCAAACGCTAGCAAAATGTATTTCATACTAGAGTAATAACTTTATGGTGGCAAACAAGTTGTATCAGTCGAATAGTTAAAGCTTAAATACTTGATAAAAATAATACATGACATTTAGATTTTTATGTGTGTGCTTTTAGAAGCTTGGAATCCTTGGGGTGTAGTTTTAAGAAGAGAAAATATATAGGCTAACTTTATCTGACAGTTTTTGTGCTTTTATAGATTTTATTGTTCATTAATTTTCTTATCAAAACATGAAGATTTGAGAACTTGTTCTAAATACCAAATCCAATGTGTTATGGGATAGTGATCAAATAGTTAGCCTTTTCCATATTCCTAGTTGATGTTGTTTCAAAATTTTTTTACAACATAATTTGAGTAGGTAAATGGTGTTTTAATAAGTTTACGTCTTGTAAAACTTGAAATATAATTTTGGAAGTGGTTGTTACCTAAAGCAATTTCACATTAAATATACTTGTTCAAAATATAAAATATTTCACGATTAGCTCGTTTGTCTGTTTAAATTGTTATTTACCATCAGTTTTATACTAAAACCCAAAAAGATTTATAATTCCAATCATATCCGTAACCCAAGATACATATCAATAGTATTGATAGAATTAGTTCCAACTGAAGCACATCCACATGCGTAGGCCTGCATGCGTAGTGTACGTTGTACGTTGCATGAGTGTTGCTTGTAGTTGTTACCGGGTCCCTTGTATCTGTTTGCAGTGCACTGCAGTCTGGATAGCCCACCCATAGTACCCACCCATACGAGCAGCAGTAAGTAGTCCCTAGGTTTAAGTGTTATGTCATATGGCACTCTTGTAGCCCCCGCATTAAATGTCGCTTTAGTGTCCAGTGCCCAATGTGTCGCATAATCGGGGATTTAATGGTGCATGTTATGTGGAAATTACATTAGTTTAAGGTTTGTAGCAGAGCATAATGTGGTAAACTATATCTTAAATTATTCAACGAATCTTGAATGTTAACATTTTTGTTGATTCTCCTCTTTTTGTACCAATTGAGAAAAACAGTTGGTGAAAATGTTAAATTGGATATTGTACAAACAAGAAAGTATGATCAAGAGAGTGATTTCAGATTTTATAATCAAAGGTATGTTACTGGTTAATTTCAGAATCTAAAAATATATAAAAAACACAAATTATTTTCCCCAACTTTTATTCCAAAATTTAAAATCAATTCGTGTAATTAGTTAGTTATCAACGTAATACCCAGTGGACTAGAAAGCGTGAACTGGTAATTTGTAAGGAATTCCTGTCTGAAAAATTTCCAGTTTTCATTTCTATGAGTGCCGTTTCAGTGTCATTTGTATACTCAAAAGCAAACTCGTCGGAACATCCACTCTGATGGTAAGAATTGTTTTAATTAGAAAGTGCTCGAGTGACGGTCTCGTTAAGCTAGGGGTGGGTGGGTAGGAAGGGAAGTAGGGTGGGGGTGGTGAACGAACGACTGAGTATCAGTCTCTCGCCTACTCTCCCCCTCAGCGGTGCTGTTTGGAGTTCACTTACAGTCATGGTGTGTTTTATAACATTTTGAGTCAGTCCAAGTAAGTTCTCCAGGGATTTTATAATGATTTAGTAAACAGTGTATTTATATACAACCAAAAGAGTAAATTTAGAAATTAGTAAAAAAATGTATCTAAAAATATAAGTTGACTTATTTCATAAATCCTAAATTAAGTTTTGCTATTACAACTTTTTAACTCAAATGAAATATTTTATCAGCTTTAATCTACTTAGCACCTTAGAAAATCCTATATGAATCTATACAATTATTACTATAATTTGAGGTTTTTTTCCTATAATTTGTTATTATAGCTCGTTCTCTTTTCATCCTTTAGTTTGTCAACACTTTTGGTTCATTTTGCTGAAATTTTCCAGATTTGTGCTATGCAAAAAAATTCCCTTGAATGGTAAAAGAAAGATTAACGGTGTTATTCCCTGTTGTATTTATGGACCGAATTATAAACATGTACCATAACTAGTTTGTTTATTAGATATTAGATGTTTAAGAGACGTAACTAATCCACTGGATATTTGCAGTGACGACACCACTCTTTACCCAAGTCGGGGCTACAAACTCCCGGACATACATCGATCCTCACACTTATGAAGACCCGAACCAGGCTGTACGAGAGTTCGCGAGAGAGATCGACGCCTCCTATATCACCATTGAAGCTATTATTGGTTAGTAAATCATTGTAGCATTTGCCTTTTTCATTTGGTTTTTAAGTTTGCATGTTGTCCTGTAAAATGTTGAAATTAAAAACTGTTGCAAGCAAAGTTGGGGAGGAACGTGTTACATCTATTTTTGGGCTATTACAAGATCAGTTAATCTAATAAAACAAAACAACTGACTATAAATTTACGTCAATAATATTCTTATAGCCAAATATGAGTTTTAAAGAGTTGAACAAATCTTACAGCATTATTTCTCGATAAATTAGTTAAAAGTCTCTAACTGATACTCTTGTATCTAACTATGTTAAAAGTTATATTTGTTGTGAAATATTTGAGTTATGTGAATATGTGAGGTTTTCAATAGCTTGTTACGTTTGTAATAGTAATTAATAATCTAATGAGTACTAGTAAAATCCAAAATGATTTTTTAAAGTTCAGGATCTCAATCAACTAACACTCAATATAAGGCCAAGCCATTATTGATAATTCCTAAAAGATATAAACAATCCTTGATCAGAAAGTGCATTTTTTTACCTTTGTACCAATACCTCAAATTAAACAAGATGTCTGTAGGAATTGTGATTAAATAATCACATTAAATCTCCTAAAGCTTCAGGATTTTTCAATTTGGGAAAACTTGATTTCTCAACTAATTACTCCTAAATAAGAACTAACTAATAACAACTAATCTGTTACAAGAATTTATATGACATAAGCATGTGCTTTATATACAAATATACGTAATTTCAAACACCTACAAAAGCTTGACTTGGCGTAGTCCTGTAATCCAGCTATATGTAGGTAACGAACTGTGGATATTTATAGGCATGATCTAAGGATGCGATACTCCCTAGTTTGGATTAACATCTGCACTAGTGAGTACTACGAATATTTGCAGTACTATCCTGATAGTTAGACCAATTCGTAAATTACAAGGAAAAAATGTGGTTCGGATTCCACTAGAAACTCAATAATTCAATAATTGGTCCCTTAGTTGCCATTGGCTGTATGGTCTATTAATTAACAGTCCTGTCTAAGGAACATATCGCCCTTAGTCAGTAACAAGACTACAAGATCGTGCCACTCATCCTACACTCATCTCCATTCATACATGGCTTAAAATACTTACCTTCATATGGTTGCTATTTCAATTAAAAGTATAAAAAAAAGTATTGACGTTCAATTTATAAAAAATATTTTTCCTAGGTGGTGGAGAGTTCGGTGATGTATGCCGAGGTAAACTCAAGCTGCCGCCTGACGGTCGAACAGAAATCGATGTTGCAATAAAAACTCTCAAGCCTGGCTCGGCGGACAAAGCTCGCAATGACTTCCTGACGGAAGCTTCCATCATGGGACAGTTCGAGCATCCCAACGTCATCTTCCTGCAGGGAGTCGTCACCAAGAGCAACCCTGTGATGATCATCACGGAGTACATGGAAAACGGCTCCTTGGACACGTTCCTCAGGGTGAGATTTGTAAAACTTCATTTGCTAATTGGACATTCCATCCCGACAGATTTTGCTGAAGTAAATTACCGATTTCTGTCGAATACTAGACTTTTAAACCAAATCAAACTTATTGAACGCCTTGTTGTGAGTTATAGTAGCTTTTATATCACATCAACTACTTCAGGAAGCATAAAGTACAATTTTAGACTGTGGCGCATTCTGTCAGCCGCCCATCCAACCTTAGTTTTTTAATCATCAGCTGGTCCATAAAGATGGGATGTCTTCCTCAGAATTGCTGTCTTGAAGTAATGTGATGATTAAAATGAGAGACAATCCTTAACTTTTGTCTACCTTTAAATCTAGAACCATATTTAATGTTGCAGGCTAACGATGGCAAGTTCCAAGTGCTACAGTTGGTAGGGATGCTGCGAGGAATTGCGTCAGGGATGCAATATCTCTCGGAGATGAACTACGTCCATAGAGACTTGGCGGCCAGAAACGTCCTGGTCAATGCCCAACTAGTCTGTAAAATAGCTGATTTCGGATTAAGTAGAGAAATAGAAAGTACTACGGAAGGAGCCTACACGACAAGAGTAAGTTTTATAACCCTTTACTGCTTAGTTTGATTGTATAATTGATTTGTGAAAATCGGTAAATTGTTTGGTTACAGGGTGTCCACATTCTGGAAAGTCAGGGATAGTCATGGAAAGTCATGGAAAAAAATTTTGGTCATTGAAAGTCAGGGAAATAGGCAAGAAGTCATGGAAAGTCATGGAAATTTCCAATTGTGGATGGATTTGAGGGGACCATTCAATGCTCTAGTCAGCTGTAACCCGGACTGTTGTAGCATTTTTCGGGATTTTTCACAAATGTTCGACAATTCAATTTATTACAGTTGTATTATTTGATGAGTTTTCGGTTTGTTTTAGTTCATTGTTGTACCTATTGTACTCCATTGTTATCTGTTATTACATATTTCAGTATTTTCTGCAAAATAACATGTCCAGGCAGTTATATTTGTGTGTGTATGTTATATTATAATTTGCGTGTAAAGTTCGTGAGTCATGGAAATAAATGGTCATGGATAGTCATGGAAAGTCATGGAAATTAATGACAAATTTGTTGTGGACACCGTGGGTTATTTTTCCATAACCGGTATTGAAGTGTTAGTAGTAAACATATACATTTGTGTTAGTAGTAATTTGTAATCAGTGAATTACATTTTAGTAATGCTTTTTAGTTTTTTTATGAAGGGCTAACGTTAAAGTCTCAGAAGAATCTCACAAGCATCTTCCTATATAACTCAAACTAAACCATCCGATAATTTGAACTAAGCATTTTAAGTGAGTTTCTCCATAAAATAACAGGCAGCGTAGACTCGATGTAATAATTTAACCTTTTTGAACCAATCATGGAGACTGCAAGGTCAAAATGACTCAAACATTTTCTGGTCAGGTTTTGTTTATGAGAAAAAATTGGCTGTGAAATATTTTTGTATGGGTGATCATTTTTAGGGCTACAGTGAAATATAGATTTAAAATACAACAACTTTGAACATCAATTTATCGAAAACTACGGATCTGACATCGCTGCGGTTGGTACCAGTGAGTCGGAAAACACCTTAAGTTTTGTCTTAAATAGCTGATTGCTGTCAACAATACAAACATGTGACAAAAGATGCTATTTATTGATTTGTTTAAAAATGGTCAAACGCTCTCAGAAAAGTCTTTTTGTGTGTTAGAATTAGAGATAACTCAGTCTGCCATCCGTGTCCAATTGTGACTTTTTTTGTGGGGAATGTGAAAGACAAAGTTTTTGTTCCTCCTTTGCCATTGAACCTCATGGAGCTCCGAAATCGCATTACTACTGCAGTACTAAGTGTGAATGAGACCATTCTTTAAAAAGTTTGGGCAGAATTTAGTTTTAGAATAGATGTGTGTAAAATAAGCCGAGGATCCCATACTGAGCATTTGTAATATATGGGAAAAAACTTGAGAATCTTAGCTTTCTAATGGTGTATTTCACATTCTCCTAGGTGGTATAACTTTCCTGTAATCTTTTATTAAAGTTGTTCACTTCTTTTGTGTTCACCCTGTATATTCGCTTAATCAAAAAGATCAATAGTTGAAGTATACTTGACGGTATTTTCAATAAGTATTGCAAACCTAGCATTGGATTTTAAACGGTTTTTAACAACCCTCACTAAGGCCTATTTAATACATTTCAAGAAAAATTCAAATCTTACTAATGGGAAAGAAACTCATTCACAGTAAATTGTAAGGCAGTCCTCCAAGGATTTCAGTCTAAAATATTTTCCCCTTTCATCACGATGACAGCATTGATCTTACCTGTACCTGTAATGCTGCAATAGACATTACAGTATTGATATGTTGTTGCAACGCACAGCTACTGATTAATTATAAAGTGACCAAACATAAATTCATATTTCACAAATTAAGATACACTGTTTAAATATGTTGTGATTGGATTTTTGATTCACACAATAATTAATTGATTTGTTGTTATATGAGAAACATGTCAATCGAAGTATTTATTTTTGCCTCTAAACTACTATGTATCATAGTAGTTATCATAGTAGTAGTATGTATCAATAGTAGGCTCCTGTGCACATGGTAATTGAATGTGAATTATTAAACATCGGTAATGGCCATAGTCCTTTAACAATCAATGCAGGCAATATTGACTTTGTTGAGGTAAAGTTGTGGTTTTTATACTTGAACCTGAATTAAAGTTGGTGTGGTTTTCACCTTTGTTAATTATATGAATATTTCAAACTAGTTATCAAATTTTGGCTTTGGCCTTTTATGTTCATTTGGATGCATTTAAAAAACTACACTGATTCCTTCATTGCCTTCAGTGAATTTTGCTAGACTTGTTTTATTTTTACCAACTAAAAAACATACACTTTGTCAATCTTTTGTTCATCTTCTTGAAAAGATGCCTTACCTCCAAAATATTTAACGAATGATCAATATATTTTCTTCTTGTTAAGCTAAGTCTTTTCTTTTTCAGGGAGGCAAAATCCCTGTCAGATGGACGGCTCCCGAAGCAATCGCTTTCCGGAAGTTCACATCTGCCTCGGACGTTTGGTCGTTTGGTATTGTTTGTTGGGAGGTGATGTCCTACGGAGAACGACCTTACTGGAATTGGAGCAACCAAGATGTCATCAAATCTATTGAGAAGGGTTATAGGTAAACAATAATACCAATTTATTGTAACTGAAGATATACACAGTAGTTTCTGCTATTGTTAACGAGTTGTTTAAATTAAATGAGGTTTGTCACTCAGTCAGTAGTACAAGGACTTTGAAATTGTGACCATGGGTTAGAAACCTGGTACCTGCCAATACATTTTATCAGTCCAGTTCAACCTTAAAACTACTGTACCGGCTCTCCCCTTGCTTTGCTGGATAAGTTCAGGCCATATTACACCAATTAGGGTTGTGTGATCAATTTCGAAGCTTGTGAGCTTATGTAGATGGGCAAATGCAAGGTTAAATGAGGCCACCATCTTCTTTTAAATTAAGGAATGGATTATAGTATAAGCATAATGAACCCCAGGATTTGAAGTTTTAAAGTGGTTTGAGACAAATTTGAAATTTCAAGTGAAAATTGATGTAGTTGGATTACATAGATGATGTCAACATTGACAAAAAAACATGCCACTTTCTATCCAATCCATCAATAATTTATAATTTTTAACCCGGAGGTGGTATGTGGAGATGAAACAAACTAATCTCAAAACATTTATTTTTACATTTCATTTTTTCAATATTGTTTAAGTTTAGTTTTTGTTGTTATTTTTATGTCTACATTGTTGACGTTTCTCCAGGTTACCAGCACCTATGGATTGTCCAGAAGCTATTTACCAGCTGATGTTGGACAGCTGGCAGAAAGAGAGAACACATCGGCCCAGCTTTGCGTCTATAGTGAAGACATTGGACAAGCTGATACGGTGTCCGGATACGTTGCGCAAGATCGCTCAAAACAGGTACGGCAATCCTTCATCAGCTGTTTCTTCTGCCACTTTTTGTTTGATTTTTATGTGTAAATATAAACTGTCTTCGTTATTTACTGGAGAGCAATGAAGAAAGCTCATTTTAAGATGTTAAGACTTATCTGTGTCAGTTGAGTACAGTGTTTCGGAATGCATCAATACTATTTTTGAATAGTTTAAATATTTGTAGCCTAGTAAAAAAATTCAAATCATAGTTCTCAACATTGAAACATTGGAATAAAAAACCAAGCAATCATGTTTTATAAATTTAAACAAATCTGACGAGGTTATCGATATTAAACCAATTTTCCAAATACAATTAAAAATCCTCGATTTGTTAGCCTTCTCACTAAGTTTTTGTTGATGCAATCTTCTTTGTTTACATTGCTGTTAATTTATCTTTCTCAATGGAGTTTTGTTACATATTTACCTGTTACATGTGGTTTGTTTGATTTTGCTTCGCATTGTTCTCATTTTGGGTTGCGTGTTTTTGTTTTGGCAGACGCCCGCCCGCACATAACCCCTATTACGTGCCCGTCACGTTTAGACCTCCTCAGTGGGTTTCATTCCATCACGAGTAACGGTGCTGGATTAGATTTTTAACACAAACTCACTCTGTTAAGGTACGCAGACCACCCTGGCTTTCACCCTAACGTAGAATATGTTATCCGTAAGGGGATGAATCTTCTCTAGTCTCTTGTGCAAGTTTCCTTGAGCGGCAGGCTTATTCAATTAAATTCAAATATCTTTATTTAATACAACACCATGCTAAATATTACATATTTTCCTCTTGTGCACACCCACGTGCGAGGAATCCTTTACCTTATCACTTTACTTATGGTCAAATATTTAAATCATTTATCACTTATGTTTATACTTAACTTTTAAGGGTTTAAAAGCGGGAGCTCTAGCTTGTTTGAACACTTTTATAAACATACAATTTTGATTTCACTGATCTCAAATCACTATTTTAATCCTGCCAACCCCTGGTTGGGTCTGCCTGATGTGCTGCATGCTCACTCGCTTGCTTATTTGGAAATTGTTTCAATTTCTTGCTTTATTCTGTCATTAATTTATTTCTTGATTAATCTTTGCTTATATTTATTCATCTCTGTATACATCGCAGAAACTTATGTCAGAGGAAAATTTTCTGCCATTTGTTGAGCTTTGATGTAAGGTATGTTCTTCAGTGTTTAAGAATTTGCTATTAAAACCATAATGTATTCTTTTTACCACTCCTTAGTAAGATACTTGGACAAAATAGGTTTTCTAAACAGTTTTTTTTGCATAATTTTGTTTTGTAAATGAATTTGATAATATGACCTTCAGAGTTAAATAAAATATTAAAATATTTTTGAGGGGTTGATGACAAGCTTGCCTAACATGGTGTGGTGTTACAGATATTTGTATGTGGTGCAAGGTGTTGGTAGCAAAAATATGTAATTATGTGGGTAACTCAGTGGTTCTAGTAGACAGTCTCTGGTTCAACCCTGAGAGATCCCAGTAGCTTTTAGACGGGTTGAATTAAACTTGACCCCAGTAATAGTTTAGGTAAAAATAAATAGCCTTAGCTAGAAAACAAGTCAGTATTTAGCTAGTCAGTGTTTAGTAACAAGGCTTAGAAAACCTTCACTGATCCTCTTTAAAAATGTGCACTCCTGTGTCAATCAATATCGTTTTAATTTAATCTAATATACTTATTGTATTTGTGTATCTTAGTAAAATCAAGCAAACCTAATTAAACTTTAATCCTAATTGTTTATTTCTTTTGCCAACTAAATGAGTGTTTGTTTAAATTATGCCTGCCAGTATAAATTCTTAATCAGTTGAAGAAATGCAAAGACTTGCACAGTTGATGTAAAAAATTTTAATAAGTTGTTAACTCAAAGTTTAAAGAAGCGTTACAACTTTATCTGAATTATTGTAGTAAAAGGTACAACATTTACAAATCATTCCATAAATACTCTAGAATCCAGCAATTAAGTAAATTTGTCAATCTTAATTATTGTTAACTGATTGAAGTATTAGGGATTATTAGTTTTCTTTCCCCATTTAGATTAGGTTACTTTGTGACAAACTAAACTCCCGTAGTTTTTTCCTTTAGATTTTGAATCCAATAAGAATTACCTTTATTCAACCCGATTTTACTACCCTTTGTTTGATTGACAGTAATTCTAAATAATTATTTGTAAAATTAGTCAATAAGCAATATATTTATTTTCATTTAACATTTAAATAATTTTTCAATTTATTGTGTATCCCATTCTTGTAGGACACTAAGACTAAAACCTTTTGTCCTCAAATAGAATGTTAGGAATTGATCATGTTTTCAAAAGTCTAGTTTAAATAAATCATATTTTGAAATCTTACGCAAAAAAACATTATACGATTATTTGCAAAAGTTGGCTCTCTCTAACAAAGTAAATGTTCACAATCGTCCTGATCCTATGATTATATCAGTTATACCTGGTCTTAGTGTTCTATATTGAGTGTTTTTGCGCAGGACGGCCAACCCGCTAGCACCAGACGCGCCGGACATGACTCAGTTCACATCAGTCAGTGATTGGCTCACGTCTATCAAGATGGCGCGTTACCTCGAGAACTTTGAGCGCGCCGGGATCACGAGTATGGAGGCAGTGGTGCAGTTGACTGTGCAGGAACTAACTGCGCTTGGGATCACGCTGGTCGGTCATCAGAAGAAGATAATGAACAGCGTGCAAGCCATGCGCGCACAGATATCCGCCAATCTCTCGGAGGGATTCCTCGTCTAGTCAACGGCGCCGCACCTACGTGGTGCGGTCCGTCACTCCCTCTACAACGACATTTACGACTTGTAAAGACTGTTAAACAGTGATTGTGTACGTGAACATTCCATGACGGAAGAGCATTCCATGTATTGTAATCGGAGCTCTTTATATTCGAGGTTTTATGAATGTGTACTGTGATAAAGATTCTGTATATTTTTTGTACATTCGGCAGTACTTAACGGAATTTTGTTTACTCTACGGCGTTTTGTGATGTAATTTAATTTGTGTGAAACGACTTTGTTAAATTTATAAATATATAAATACGGTGTATATTATAAACGATTTTTTATTGTGTTTTAGAAAAATTGTATAGAGCGAAAATGATTCCGTTTAGGAAGTGTAATTACTCGTTAGTTTAGATTAACTCGATCATTGGATGTGTACGATGTTTTAATACCGAAAGCAATAATGTTTTGTAATGTAAGTCGTATGATTTAAAACCTTATTTATTTGTAGACACTGTGTAATCGAGCCATTAAAATTGATTAACCCCAATCTAAACCAGTACTTAACTTTGTATAGGTATTTTTATACTTTAATTTATACTTTTTTATTAATTATAGTCTGGAAAATGTTTTAGTTGGATCGACAATGGTTAAAGTTACTAGAAACATTGCCATCATTAAGTCTGAGTATTAGTATTTAGTGACATTTTTATTTTGAACCAACATTTTTTGTTCTGTTTTGAAATTTATGTTATATGAGCCACTACTGTATTCTACTTTATAAAAATGTTTAATATGACTTTAAAAGTATTTCCTTTTGGTTTCATTAATAATTTTCAAAACGAATAGTCAATGATAATTTTAATTGTATTCAAGCATACTTTTGGAAGTAAAAAAGTTAGCTATGAAATCTAAGTTTAATTTAAGTTAAAGCTAAGCAAAAAACCCCCACAACCTTCTCAAACATGTGTATTCTTATTCAATTGGAATTAATCCTATAAAAAAAAACTTGTGTGATGTTGAAAAGGTGTTTTTGTGATTTAACTGTAAAAACTAAATGTTTGCATACTTTTTAAAGGCTAGAAAATTTGTAAATAAATTAATAACCTTGTTTTAGATTTCATAACCAATTTCCAAAATGTTCTCAGTACTGTTGCCTAAGCAAGGTTGGTTTATGTTACTTACTTGATTCTCAGAAAGATTGTATAGTTTGTGGTACAGTGGAACTTGGATAATTCGAACCTCAAGGGACCAGCTAAAAACTTCGAATTATCCAAAAATTCGAATTAAATAAGTTCTTATAACCAGGGCCGTAAACAATAAAAACACGTTTTAAATTCAAACTATTAACTTTATTGATACTATTTGAACATTAATTTATTGAATAATGCCTATTACAGTAATAGTATACAATAAAAATAACTTGCAATCGCTCAAACGACAACGAAATTATGTACAAAACTAAAATTAACTAACCTTAAAATGTCCTCAGCAATAGCTGAACTGCACGCAAACTTCACACGATTACCAATAGTCCAAAGCAAAATATTAAGCAAAATAGAATTTTATGTTTATTTTTTAAGTAAGTTGATAAGGTGTTGGGTGGAATTCCAAAGTCTTTCGCGATTTCAGATTTTTTCTTGACTCCTTTTTCCACTTCTTTGATCACAGCGACTTTTTCAGCTAATGTCAAAGTTTTATAAGACCCTGGTTTTTTCGATGAGGTTGATGCCATGATCACTACACAGTTACACTCACTAAAAGTTAATGTATACAGTACAGTAGTGCAGTACGGTACGTTAAAACTACAGTACTGTACACGTAATCACTTGAAACTAAAAGTCTAAGACAACAGCAAAACTACGTTAGGTAACGGCCTTCACGCAAACCGATACAGACCACGCACAATGCGACACTGAAAAGAGGTCAGTGGTGGTGGGTGGGAGAGGAGAAAGGGGAAGGGAGTGTAGGGTACAATGACCTGTAGGGCGGTGGCGGGAGGGGAGGTATGAGTCATCAGACTAAACGCAGGCGCGCGAGGGCTGGCACTTGTTCTAACGCAAACATTTCGTCAAATGTGGCTTGGAATATGTTTTTTATTTATTATTTTTGAATATATTTAGAGTAATAATTTAATGATTTGGCACTTAAAAATTCGAATTATCCAAAATAAAATTCGAATTATCAACGTTATTTTAGCATTGTTTTAATACAAAATGCTAGGGACCACGGGAAAAATTCGAATTAAAGAAGATTTCGAATTAAAGAAGTTCGAATTATCCAGGTTCCACTGTACAACATGTTTATAAAGAAACCCAAACAATCGTTCACAACCTAAGTATTTTATTCAAAACATAATTGAGTCAAATTTAAATTTGCTATTTACAATTCCAAATTTCCCAAAACAAAATTGTTTAGTAGTCGCCCAAAAAAAAGAAAAAATAATTGGTTTTTTTTATTTACAATACCATAAAAATATAACTTTTCAAATATCGAATAACGTGTTTCTCTAATTGTACCTTAAGAAGATTATTCACTAAATTATAATGATATAAAACTTTATTTTATATCTAAATTTTAGCAATCATCAAATAAATATCAGAAAAATATTTATTGCATTACTACAACTTTAATACATCCAATCTTATTATCCAAACATTAATTTTTTGTTGGTTGGTCCTCCAGTTGGCAATGGACTTTGGGCCCAAGACATATTGTAGGTTCGGATCATGATACCTGCCACTAGCTTTTATCAGTACAATTTGCTCTTGTACTGTACTGACTCACCCCTTGCTTTGCTGGATACATTCTATAAACAGGCCTGTTAGGCCCTTGTGGACATGCAAAATGCAAGGTTAAAGAGGCCGCCAACTTCTTACAAAATTTAAAAAATGTAATTACTACATTCAACATATTACAATAAAGTTGTACCACAAATATATTTAGCTGTTAATATTTTACCTATTTATATCACTGCCTTACTTTCTCATAAGATGGCTGGAAGTATTGCACAAACATGGTTGAAGACTGTATATCGTGGCTCTGTCACTCTTAACTGCCATTAAGCTGGATAAAACATGTCATGATTAATTTGTACGAATCAAAAGAGATATTTTAAGACTGGAGAAAGTTTTGTTTCCTTGCTCATGCTTTTGTAGTTTGTTAATTTTTGAAAGTACACTGAATAGCTTTGTTTGTCTCATCTTACGGTTCCTCGAAGCTGATTCACCGCCACTGATTCGAGTAAGTCTGACTCTATGTCCCAGAAATTCCTCACTAAATACCAATCTCATTTAAAGTACTGCTTCCATTTTGTACAAGCATCTCAGACTAATACATGTATAAGCTAAGAAAGTATAGTTATTTTTTACAACATATACTACCCGTGTACATTGGAAATATTGTATATATATTTATATATATCCTTCCCACGAATGTTATACGCCAGTTTTGTTTTGACTCACTCAGTTTGTGTGCCCGCCTTAGTTCCACGTTTGTTTTAACGCTGCCGACTTTAGTCATGTAACGCAATGTATGTTAAGCAACATTATTTCTTGTATGTAAAAGACTTTGTATAGACATTATTATATATTGATCCTTGTTTTTATTTCTTTTGTAAATTTTCATTATAAGAAGATAAGAAAATAAATGACGTCCAGCAATCGATCGTGTTAGTGTTCTTGAACCCATAGATGACATCTGTTGTCTCCCTCTGTATCAGCACCGTAAATCTAACTTTTATTGCTACACAATACAGACAATTTAGCAATGGCGAGTTAAGGTCTGGACTCTGGAATATCTATTTTGTGCATTGAGAGCGCCAAGTATGTCATTACCGCTTGAAAACTGTGTAGATCGCTGCCAAAAGCTTCCTGCGGCTATACATTTCGAGAGTGAGAGGGTTAGTGCTCACAAGACACACATGAATTTTACTACCACCTTAATCTTATAAAACACAGATTAACTTTTTAGTGGTATACAAAATAAATATCATTATTCATTGTGACACTTGGTTGGAATATATTATTGATAAAATAAAACTATTACCTTATCCAACCACAGTTGTTGGTATGACAACTAGTTCCCTTCCTTTAAACTTCATCAAGTCAACATTGTGGTAGGCTATGTCAATAGATTCTAAAAAAAAAACTGCCACAATCACAATAATTTTAACTTGTTATGATAAAAAAATAGTTAAAATGGAATAAAAACCCCGATTAAAACTGTACAAGCTGGCGAACACTGTCTATTACTGCCACTTACTAAATAAAACTGACTGAGTCATCATGTTTCTTTTTGACTTTAGTGCCACCTGTATTTAAGTTTCTTTTGTATTTATTATTTTATATAATTTTGTATTTGTAACTTGTTAATTTAAGTTTCAAATATAATATATGACTGGAAAGAAGTCTGATCATTTAAAATGTTACATGGTTCGAGGTTTTTAGCTTTGAAGATAGTGAATTCTTGTTTCCATGTTCTTATCAATAGATGTGTAGTTGTGTACACAACTAAACATCTATTGATAAGAGCATGGAAATAGTTGAAGTATTACCAAAAAGTTTTAAGCTTGATGTCATAGAAGAATCCACCATCTATCTACAAAGCTGGTAACAAAACTCGACCCATGTATCATTTTAAATGATCAGACTTCTTTCCAGTTAAATATTATATTTGATACATATATTGACAAGTTACAAATCAAAGAAGTATAAAATAAGAAGAACAAAACAAACTTAAATACAGGTGGCACTGGAGAAAAGAATAAACATCATGATTCAGTCAGTTTTATTTAGTCAGTGGCAGTGATATACAGTGCTGGCCTGTACAGTTTCAATCAGTTTTATCAACTTTTATTCCATTTTTAACCATTTTAGTTGTTTTCTATTGACCCACTACAAAGTATTAATACACTGATGACGTGGTTGCATACAAAATTACCTGATGAAGTTCTAAGGAACGAAACTAGACGTCTTACCAACAACTGTGATTGGATAAGGTAATCATTCCTTTTTATCAAAAATAAATATCATTTAGGCTACCTATGTTTGTTATTTTAAGAAATGATACTTGCTTTCATAGAACATCGCCGCACTAGAAAAACAGGCCATGCTGCAGGATCCATGATGGCGTACTTGTATGTGGATAGATTCACTGCCGTATCCCATACCTTTTAGGTAAATAAGCTGGCTATTGGTAAGATTTTAACGTTATTACGTCTGACAAATTTAGTACAGCTATCCACCACTGTGACGTAGTGTTGGCTGCCAGCGCTCCAGCATGGCTTTTTTGTATTTGGGCCTTGTATAGAAACGCCAACAGTGAAATCAGCTGATTTAGAGAGTGGGAATGAAAATTGTCGGAAATGATATATTTTGCATACTGTTTACTGGTGTGGAAATGTGATAATTCCATGCAGTGATAATTCCATTAAATTCAGGCACAGACTAACTGTCTTTGACACCCTCGATCATAGCTAATGCTTACATTCACAAACAAGAGATATGGGAACAAGAGATAATCATGCCTCCTCCCCCCTTCCTGTCAGGTGAATTTTCCCTTCCTTGCGCCACGGGGTCCATTTATTAAAGCCTTTAGGTTAATTATTACTTAGGGTGACAAAATAACGTAAACAATTGTAGTACAGGACTTAAGTTTCATTAGTTTCCCTACAAATTGAAATGGGTTGTGGGTGGGTTACCAACAAGTGGAGCCGGATTTCATATATCACTGTTCGTGTGTGGTGAAACTAACAGCCTCCCACTCAATCCAGCCCGGGTCTGTAAACAATATTACCGTGAGTTGTAATATATTACTATGCATTGTATATACATATCACTCCCTTAAGTAAATTTATACTGACTTTGTTCCTGTATTTTGACCATATTGGCAAAACAATTGTTTTATGTGTTATTGTCAGTGGGTTCTTCTGAAGGAGAGGAGGGAAAATGCATTTAGGCACATAGGTCAGTAACTCATGAATTGATCAGAATACTTAGTCAAACCACTTTTACTCTGTTGGACACAGATCTGAGTCTTCGTCACATTACTTCAGGTCAAGTCGACATGTGACCTAAGCCCTTAAGGCTCACACTCTTTCTGTCATTCTGTTCTTTTATTACCCAGACCACATCTTGCCCAAAGTCAAGTTTCTTGGTGCTGAGAATATTGTGTACAAACTGAAACAGGTCTGATAGTTCTCACCCTCCTTCCTTCATCATTGGGATACCCGTGTCTACTGACATCAGTCATTGTGTTGAGTCTTCAGGCGGGGTCATTCCCAATGTCAGCACTCAGCAGAAGAAAGTTTGTTCATCAGGAGTGCCCAGACAGTAGATGCAATCAGGTGACACAGCCTTGATCATTCTGATCAGGTACAACCGAAAATAGCCGTGACCTGTCAGAAACTGCCGATTAGCCAATGGTTGGGCTTGTTGAATCAATTGCTTGGTCCAGCAACCCCACATCTCCTGTACACAGCTCTTCTTGCCAGAGCCGGTAGCTGCAGGTGCATTACTAAATTCTTGCCTGGTACTTCCCTACATTGCTGATACATCGCCTTATTCTCCGAGGCCAAAGGTTTGACAGGGATGACTCCAGTGACCACCAGGATGGCGTGTTCAGACACTGTTTGGTAGGCTGATGTAGCACTCAGGACTGTCTTATGCTGCACACAGGCTAGCCACATCCTGTAAATCTTGTTGAGTGTGTCTGCCTACAATTTCACACTGTATAGGAGGATGGACTGAATTGCAAACATCAAAAAACTTCTGCGACTTTACCGAGAACCTGCAACATTGGCCGTTACCGACTAAGAAGCCGCAACCTCATCAGCGAATCTGTACCGAACTAAAACGGTTAGGCATTTCAGACCTCAGGATGTTGATTTAGGCGATTTTTCAGAAGACTAGCTAAAGCATGAAACC